AGTAGTTATTGAAAGTATTTCCTTTTCTGGTCATAGAAACTTCTATAAAACAAAGTACATCTTTTTCTTTCTTCTATTTTTTATAAGTTGACCGTGTTTTTAACTTATCTAATAATAACGTCATTTGATACTTCTTTCGACAAACAGAACCTGTAACAGTCCACATATTCGCGTTGTTAATTGAAGAAGACGACGATAAAGACGATGAGTAATCAGACAAAAATGATAATTATTACTTCAAATGAAGATCTTATTCATCAGTTATGTTTGAACAAATCAAAAAGCACTCATATCATTGATTTAGATGAAAAGAATTCAACGAGTTCAATATCCACGAATAACAATGGTTTACTTGACCTTACTTTTCTTGCTCAACTTTTCGAACTTGTTTGTATTTTTTATTTGAAATATTGTTTTTATGAAAATTCTCAATCTAGAATTCGGCAAAGGATCAAATGTACAAACGAGTTCTTGATCCTCCTCAATATAGTCGATCAAACATGTCAAAAAAAGAAATCAATCTTGTTTGTCTTATTTGTGGAGAGCATGCCATTGGTTTTAATTACGATGTTCTTACATGTGCTTCGTGTAAAGCAGTTTTTCGTCGAAATGCTCAACATACTCTGGTTTGGCTTTTCGTCTTTATTGTTTTATTTTTTATATTTTCATTTAATTTTTGTAGGAAAAAATTGGTTGTCGAACAGGACAAAACCGATGTTCAACATCTCATACTAGCCATCGTAAATGTCAATGATGTCGATTAGAAAAATGTTTTGCTATGGGTATGAGAAAAGATTTTATTTTGAGTGAAGAAGATAAACAAAAACGACGAGACCGTCTTGAAGAAAATCGACTATTGTTTAATGAACGTCAATCTTCTACAGAATCGATTTCTTTATTTAACTAATGCATATGTTTCAGCATCGCTTAGTGAAATTGATCGTGTCAGTTAAGTCTGTGAATGAAATTTTTCCATTATCAAGCTTGAAAATTAAATAGAATTGGGAGAAAAAAGAAGAAACTCAGATATGAAAATATATTATTTATTGTTTATTAGAACATCGATTGACTGTAGGAATTAAGATGAGAACTTTTTAGATAAAGCTTTTTTTAGATGAACATCTAAAAACATATCAAGAAGGAATCTGTAAATTTTAGTACATGAAAATATTGAACAGACTGAAGACATAAAAACTTCATAGAAATTAAGAAAATTTATAGATTCTAATGTTTCTCTGTTGATAATTGCTATCGTTCTTGTTCATAATTAAAAGAAAAAAATTTGTTAAATAATACTTATAAATATTGTTTTTGATGAAATTGAATATATACAGTATGAATTCATATAAACTTTTGTTCAGCTTTTAATGGATACGGACAATGANTTTATATTATGGTCTTGAGTTTGTTTTCTATTTTTTCGAACAGAGACACATGGGGACATTGCATGACTAGTTGAATATAAATCGATGTTGTATTAGTCATTTGTATTGCTGGATATTCGAATGCTTTTCAGGTCATGTGAAGTGAACTAGAATGAGCGTCATCCATAGTGTAGTCCATCGTCCATAAAATATCAGTATGAAAATATACATCAAAGAAAGTTAGCGATAGGTGGCGCTCTGTGTGTGAACATCACTTGCATCAGAATGAATACGATATTCTGAATTCATTTGTTTATCACGAACACGCACAAGAAGCTAACACAAACTCGTTTGGTTAGAGATTTTTAAACCAAATGAATTAAGATATAAGTAAATTAAAGTGTAATCGTTCGTTCGACTATGTGTGCTCTCTAATAAAAGGTAATGAAGTTCAATGAAAACTGATTATTTTTCATTAAATATCGACTGAACTTGATTAAATTATAATGACAAATTAAAAGCATTAGAAAAAAAACTGCAAACCAGTGAAGAAAAAAAATAAGGGTATCAAATTTTTTCAGATAATAATGGTACGATTTTAGTCGACTTCAAAATGATATTATAGCATTTTCACATGAAATAGATGTTCTACTCATCTATTTTTTTATCCACAATATTTACATCTTCATACTCACTCTAGATACTACACAAATTGGTTCATCAATTGATTCATTGATAAAATGAAACATTACTTTTTTTTATTGAACGGTTCATAATTAGATGATGTCATTGATTACAATATATTTTTACCTATTAATTGAGTTGCATGTAGGGACAATATCTGGTCTTTCATGTATCTCTCTTAATTGACTTTCTCATATACAACTATTTTGTAATTCTCTTCTTCCCTTCTCCTCTTTGATCTTATTACATGTTTGATCTTATGTGCTTTTCGATGTTGAAAGAAACTATAGATACTTATCAAGTAGAATGAATTTAACATTAACTTTATATGATTTTTCCAGTTTTGATTCGTTTATAATTACGTAGAATTACAATTTTTGTTGCTAATAAATGATTTTTCGATAATTTGTTTGTAACAAAGAAATAAGGAAAGCAGTAATTACTACAACAATTAATGTATCATTAATTGCAAATTTGAATAAATTTTCGGAAATAATAAGAAACAAAAGGGATACAATAAATGTATGAATAAGGAATGAGAAACTAAGAGAGATAGCTGTTCACTTTTTGAAAATTTGAGGAGAGTAAGTGTAAACGAAACAACATGGTACGTTCACATCTTCATAACTTTTTGTGACTTCTTTTTGGTATCGATAGTTTGTTTACAGATAGAATAAAAGCCGAGAAGATCAGAGAATTACAAGATCAAAAGGAGTGACACATTCAGAGAAGAATAAGTGAATAGTTCCTATACTAGCCACATGATTGAGAAGATACATGAGAGAAAAGATACCGCACTTAGTAGCATCAAATTATTGTGTGTCCACCTTTCATACTTTTTCGTGACCAACAAACACATGGCAATTGTCGTTAATTGGCATGCTCCTTAAGACAAGCTAATTATTGCAAAAATACGTATTAGAATAGTGACTTACACAAAAATAAAAAATATTTGAGAAGAGGNGAACGGTAGCTCCAAAACCAGAGACAAGAGATCCCAAAGTCAGAAACTCATTAGTCCAGAACCGAAGCCACATGAGCCAGAAATCGACGTATTTTAGTCATTTTTTTTTGAAAATCAGGAAAAGGTGAGCTCCCTATCTTCCACTGGTCGCACCATCCTTGGACGAAAGCTGCATCTAGTTATAATACTGATTTCTTGTCTAAACACTAATTTAGGCTATTGATGTAGTTCAGAATATCTCAAGAATAGAGAAAAATAGTAGAATAATTTTTTTTTCAATCTTAGATTTTTGCTAAATTTAGGGTAAATTCTCTACTGTATTTCTCTATAATTGGAGAAAATTGTGTACTGTAGCTCTCCGAGATCGGAGAAAGTTGTGTGCTGTAGTTCTTCGAAATCGGAGGAAGTTGTGTGCTGTAGTTCTCCAAAACTGGAGAAAATCGTATACTGTATTTCTCTGAAATCGAAGAAAATTGTGTACTGTAGTTCTCCGAAATCGGAGAAAGTTGTGCACTGCAATTCTCCAAAATCGGAGAAAATTCCCTAATAATCTCTCAAATTCGGAGAAAACTCAAACCAAAATTTTCCGAAACAGGAGGGGGGTGTCCCCTCTATCCCCCCCGGTCGCGCCGTTGCTGGATAGAGATATAAGAATGAACCAGCAGTATTTCAGTTTTAGTCTCTTCAACTGTGTCGACATTGTACGCCAGCGTCCTCTATCATTTTTATTTTTACATTTCTCTTAAAAAAAAACCAAGAGCTGATTTCGATGAAAAGTAATTTTCTCTGTCTATATGTATTAAACCTATATATAGATCCTTCCAAAAACTAAAAGACCAATAAATGAGGGTCGTAGGAAGTGAACCAAAATTCACCTTAACCAAAATGTAGTCCACAGTCCACAATATATCAAAATGAAAATATATATCAAAGAAAGTTAGCGATAGATGGCGTTACATGTGAACATCACTTGAATCAGAATGAGCACGATATTCTGAATTCATTTGTTTATCACGAACACGCACAAAAAGTTAACAAACTCATTTGGGTAGTAATTTTTTAAACCAAATGAATGAAGACATAAGCAAATTAAAGTGCAAGAGTTCGACTGTGTATGCTCTCTTATAAAAAAGTAATGAAGTTCGATGAAAATTGATTATTTTTTATTAAATATCAATTGAATTTGATTAAATTGCAATGATAAATTAAAAGCATTAGAAAAAAAAACTTCAAACCAGTGGAGAAAAAAAATAAGGGTATCAAATTTTTTCAGATAATAATGGTACGATTTTAGTCGACTTCAAAATGATATTATAACATTTTGACGTGGGATAGATGTTCTATTCATCCAGAACCTTATCCACACTATTCACATCTTCATCCTGACTCTAGATACTACACTAAGTGGTTCATCATTTGATTAAGTTATAAACTGAAACGTTACTTTTTTTTAATGAACGGTTCATATTTAGACGATGTCAGTGATTACAACACATTTTTACCTATTAATTGAATTGCAGGTAGGGACGATATCTTGTCTTTCATGTATCTCTCTCAATTGGCTTTCTGATATACAACTATTCGGTAATTCTCTTCTCTCCTTCTTCTGCTCTTTGATGTTTTTACACGTTTGATCTTATTTGCTTTTCGGTGTTGAAAGAAACTATAGATACTGAACAAGTAGAATGAATTTAACACTAATTTTACATCGATTTTTTCAATTTTGATTCGTTTATAATTACGTAGAATTACAATTTTTATTGCTAATGATTGATTTTTCGTTAATTTGTTTATAATAAAGAAATAAGGAAAGGAGTAATGACTACGACAATTAATATATCATCAACACCAAATATTTGAATAAATTTACGGAAATAATAAAAGACATAAGAGATACAATAAATGTATGAATAAGGAATGAGAAACTAAGACAGATAGCTGTTCATTTTTTGAAAATTTGAGGGGAGTAAGTGTAAATGAAACCACATCGTACGTCCACATCTTAATAACTTTCTGTAACTTCTTTTTGGTATCGATAGTTTGTTCAAAGATAGAATAAAAGCCGAGAAGATCAGAGAAATACAAGATCAAAAGGAGTGACACATTCAGAGAAGAATAAGTGAATAGTTCCTATACTAGCAAGATGATTGAGAAGATACATGAGAGAAGAGATACCGCCCTTAGTAGCATCAAATTATTGCTTGTCCACCTTTCATACTTATTCATGACCAACAAACATATGGCAAATATCATCAATTGACATACTCATTAAGACAAGTTAATTATTTCAAAAACAGTATTAGTTTCTATAAATAAAGATAAAGTACTTGGGGATAGACATCGAT